TGTGGGAGGCCAAGTTAGGTGGATCACCTGAGGTCAGAAGTTTGACACCAGCCTGGCCAAGATGGCAAAACCCCATTTCTACTAAAAATAGAAACATTAACTGCATGTGATGGCAGGTGACTGTAATCCCAGCTACTCAGGAGGCTGAGACAGTAGAATCACTTGAACCTGGACGGTAGAGGTTGCTGTCAGCCAAGATCATGCCATTGCACTCCAGCCTGGCCACAAGGGTGAAACCCCATCTCAAAAAAATAAAAAAGAAAGAAGGAAAGAAAACTTTGTTAGCATCAGGCCACAACAAACACAGCTTGAGGGAAGAAAACTTACATGAGCTGAAAATGAGTTGAAGGTGAGCATGACTATTCTGCACCCTTTAAAGGGGAAGAGAAAACCGGAAACAGGGAGATGCAATAAAAGCTGAACTTTCAGCTAAAAAAATTATAATCTCTTTTAATTTATTAAAAGTAAAACAATCCCTTAAGAAAATTTTATTTTTCTAACTAATTCTTTAGTGTGTAAATCTTTTTTTACATCACACCCAATCTGTAGAAAGGCCATTATAATTTTCCTTTAATTATAGATAACTTGATCATACAAAAGGTTTTTGTTTAAATGAATCCTCTTATTGTGACTTACGTGGAGCGTTCATGACATGCTTAGACTTTCTGCTTTGCCCTAAACATCCCTCTTTCTGAAACAACCAGTCATTTCCTTCTAGGACTAAATTTACCATACAAGATTATTTCTCTTTAAACTTTCTTATCAAAAACTAGCTCCTTATTGCTATAATTTTCTTTACACCTCTCTTATTTCCTGGTTTCTTTTACCTTGTTTTATACATAACTCTTAAATAAGCTTTGAAATAGAAAACAATTTTCACCTTTTAAAAAGGACACTTTAAAAAAAAAGTGTTTCTCTACAATATATTTTTTACTGAAAAATATCTATTACTTAATTTAATATAACTTTACGTTATAAAGTGTGACAACTTTGTCTTCAAGTATTTATCCATTACATTTACCTAATTATGTTATTTTAATTGTTTACCTAGATTATTTATGAAAACAGTAACAGTCATCATTTACATTTATGAAATTGCCATTGCAAACTTCTAACTGAGATATTGGGAAAGGAAAAAAAATGAAAACAAATGAGATAGTGGGAACGGTCTGAGCTAACCGACTTCATCCTGCTTCTAACCTCCAGGCTGTCCTTGTTCTTTCCTGGACTTGGGGAGGAACTTGGTTTTCAGTCCATCTTTGAAACAAAGAAGGTAACAGTCCTTTCCCAAAACAAACCTCCTTATTGCTCATGGACTAGGCTGCCTGAAGTCACAGGGTAATTTTCCTAAATAATTCAAGATGTAATTATTTTTATTAAACCAATATCCATGTCTTATTTATTAAAATTACACAAGCAAAGATGATTCTGTTTTGGGCTGGGTTTGTAGTTTTGTAACCTCTATGTCAAGCTTGGACACCTTATAGTATTTGGTAGGGATAAGTATGGAATTGCTTGACTAATAAATGCAAACAAAATGTATGCTGGCAATGCATAGGATGTTTCTGATATTTCTTTGCCAACAATTTTAAAGCTAGCTTATATATTAAAGGTTTTACTTAGATTTTATAAAACTTGAAAAAGCATTTGACTAGTTTTTTTCCTGATAATATCAGATGCAAGCCCTTTCCTTTTCTTAAGCCAGTTAATTAGAGCTCTTTCATGTATTTTCAGAAGCGAAACATCGTGTACATAGCACATATATGGATGTATTAGACCTGCCAACAGAACTACATCTTACAGATTCACAGCCCCCCTTGTTCTCATCTTAGACTTTCACATTTCTGACAACCTGCGCCAATAGGTTGTATCAATTCCTGATAACCCTGCGCAGTTGTCAGCTACGTGGTCTTAGACTTGCATGTTTGAGGAGGGATGGGGGACCTCCAGGCAGCTGGGGCCAGTGGGGTCACCCTGCCTCATCCCCTGCTCCCCCCGCCTCCGGCACACATTATAGCCTGGGCTCTGTGGTCTGGTAATGTAAATAGTCGTGTTAACATGAGCCTACAGTGTAGCCCAAGAAGCCTCCTCATGGCACAGAATGAGCTGGTTGGCTCTTTGCAAGGTAGACGTTGTGTGTTGCGGGTTGAACATGCTGAAGTACATACTTGAATATACGTGTCTACTGAGTGCATATGGAAGCTCTAACGCCTGGGACTTGTGAGTGTGATCCTATGTGGAAATGGGAACTTTGCGGATGTCATTATGTTATGATAAGGTCACTAGGATGGGCCCTGTTTCCACATGACTGGTGCCATTACAGGACTTGCAGGACAAGAAGACAGACGCAGACACATGTGGGGACGGGGCTGTGATGGTGGCGGCACAGGTCAGAGCGATGCCGCCTGTGAATGAAAAATCCACCCCAAATCACAAAGCAATAGGGAGAAGTCACGCTGGGAACGGTGTAGGACAAAGCTGCCTCCCATTCTGTTCCTAAGTAAGACAGCCACACAGATAAAAAAGCACATGCCTCCCTCACCATTTGCCCACAGAGAAATTCCCTGTGGACAAAGGACAGGCAGAACTCAATGTCCTCCCTCTGCTCCCGTGAGACAAATCAAATCTGGTGGCTTCTTTTGCCCTAGTTTTTCACTAAGTCAGACTAAGTCATGAGTGACTATTCCTGTAAACAGCATTCAGGGAAAGGCTAATCAGAAACTCAAAAGCATGCAAGTTTGTCTCTTATCCACCTGTGACCTGAAAGCTCCTCCCCCTCCGAGTTGTTCCACTTTGCCAGACAAACCAGTGTGCACCTTACGTGTATTGATCGGTGTCTCCTGTTTCCCTAAAATGCGTGAAAGCAAAGCTGTGCCCGACCCCCTTGGGCACATGTCACGAGGACCTCCTGAGGCTGTGTCACGGGCGCATCCTTAACCCTGGCAAAATACACCTTCTAAATTGACTGACACCTGTCCTAGGTACATTTTGGTTTACAGGTCACGTGCCCCAGGACACTGGAGCCGAGAAGCTGGAAAAGACAGGAGGGCCTCCCCTGGAACCTGCGGAGAGAGTGCAGTCCTCCTGACACCTGCATTTCCAGCTTCTGGCCTTCAGAACCGTGAGAGAATCTATTTGTACTGTTTTAAGGTCCTCATTCCTTGGCCATGGGATCCTGTTTCATGGAACTGGTGCCGTTTTCTGGATCTGCCCGGCTGTCGGGAAGCCCCGTGGGTCAGGCTCCAGCATCTGAGCACCTGCTTATTTCTTCTGGAATCAGCTCTTCTCCACGTGGTGATGGGGGCTGAGAAATGGCTCAACCAGAAGCTGGAAGAAAGATATTTCCAGAGGCACAGCACCAAAACAGGGAGGCTGGTGGGCTGGCACTGGGAGAGGGGGAGGGCACAGGAAGGGGGAGGCATTGCCCCCCGAGAAGTCAGCAGACACCTGAGGCTGTGCCCCCGGAGCCAATGAATGGGGAGTCCTCGTTTGAACTGGGGACTGTGGAAGCCTGGGAGACCTGGAGCCAATGCCTTCCCTCTCTTCTCCCCACCAAGGACCCTCCAGAACCTGGGTTGGGTTGGACCTGAGAGACCTGTCTGTCTCTTCAAATGGAAGGTTCTGAAGCCCTTGTCCTGGGGGGAAGACTGTGACAATAATTCAGGATTAGTGGGGAATGACATTGAGTGTGTCCCTCATCCCAGGGCATCCCCGTCCCTGTAACAGGAAGGCTGGGGACGGACGGGCACGTCCCCTTCTGCCCTTGCTTCCTAGCCAGCGTGCCCTCCAGCTCCCCTGTGGCTCTCCAGCCGCTCTTCGTCCCCACCCGCCCTCCTTCCATCGCTGGCTGTCTCAGCCCCTGAATCAGGGCCACTGGGTTAATCACCCGGGCCCCATAGCTGTTTGCTCCTCTTTTAGGAATGTGATACTTTCCAAAATCACTCTGTAGATAAAAAGAGCCACTAGGATCTGTGTGCAAGTACGATTCATAATCACCTGTCAAAGGATGGGCTCGGTTGATTGAGGGGCTGCTGAGCACAAAATCTGGGGGGTGGCCTGGTGTTTGGAAGTGCAGGCAGGATTCCTGTTACCGTCTTGAGGCAGAATGGCTGCTTTTCCAGGGACCCTCACTTTTTGCTCTTAGACCCTCCCCCATTATGGAGGGCAAAGTGCTTTCCTGAAAGTTGAATGTTAATCTCATTATGGGGAACCCCTGAGTGATTGTTGAGCAGAGTATCTGGGCACCACGGCCTGGCCAGGGTGGCATGGGGTCACCATCACAGGGTACACTCCCACCCATCACCTGACCCGCCCAGGTCACCCTGAGCCATGGGTCTGTTACTGAGGTCCTGCCGCAGAGCTGCCTGAGCTACCAGGTGGGACTGAGTTTGTGGCATCATCTTACAATGAGCGTTTGGTTCACACAAGCCCCAGTCTCCTCCAGGGCAGCTGGTTCAGGAGGACAAAGTGCTCCTGGGGGGACTCCAGACCCAAGCCCGTGACTCAGAGCCACCCCTGTAGGATGCAGCCTTCTCAGGGTCCCGGGACCTCCCTGGAGGAGAGCAGACATCCCAGGTGGTCCCAGAGCTTTTTCAGAAGAACCGTCTCAGCAGGTGGATGCTGGGGTACACAGAGACCCTTGGGGAACTGTGGCAATTAAAGAGCCAAACTATCCAGGAGGCCAGCACCCTCTGCTGACGTGAAAGGAGCCCATGCTCACGAGGAACCAGGCTCTGTAGAGAGACGTGGCACAGAAAGAACCCAAGGAGACACAGGCTGGGGGGTGGGTGTTTATTTAGAGGATTAAGGGTCCAGCTGGGCTTTAGCAGATAGAGACAACAATGGGAGCGTTTCAGCGGGAGAGCGGGGTCCATGGGAGAGGCCACCGATCTGGGCCTGGCCGAGTGTCTGCGCCTCCTGGGCCTCCCTGAGCTCCAGCACTGGTCGGGGTGGACGGGGGAAAGGGGAGCTCTCTGGGGAAGAAGGAAGGGCAGGGCAGTATGGCCCCAGCAAGTGGGGTGAGCTTTGTGATGAGCAGCGGAGGAAATGGCTCACCCCAGGATTGCCAGTGTGATGGTGCGAGGCACAGGGTGAGTGCATTTCTAGGGTAAACATGTGGCATGAGCTGGGAAGCTCTGTTCCCGATTCCAGGGACTGTCATATTCCAGAGAAGCACAGCTCAAAACTGCATCACAGGTCTGAGATACAGGTGGCCTTCATCTGAGATCTGGGGCCAAGCATCAGATCTTGCACTGGCAGCACACGGGGACACAGCAGCTGGACTGGGAACAGCAGGGCTTGCAGCAGCTGGACTGACAGCAGGATGACCCACAGCCTGAGGAGCAGCAAGGATTGCAGCAGCTGGACTGGGAACAGCAGGGCTTGCAGCAGCTGGACTGGGAACAGCAGGGCTTACAGCAGCTGGACTGGGAACAGCAGGGCTTGCAGCAGCTGGACTGACAGCAGGATGACCCACAGCCTGAGGAGCAGCAGTAGGGCTTACAGCAGCTGGACTGACAGCAGGATGACCCACAGCCTGAGGAGCAGCAAGGATTGCAGCAGCTGGACTGGGAACAGCAGGGCTTGCAGCAGCTGGACTGGGAACAGCAGGGCTTGCAGCAGCTGGACTGACAGCAGGATGACCCACAGCCTGAGGAGCAGCAGGGCTTACAGCAGCTGGACTGGGAACAGCAGGGCTTGCAGCAGCTGGACTGACAGCAGGATGACCCACAGCCTGAGGAGCAGCAAGGATTGCAGCAGCTGGACTGGGAACAGCAGGGCTTACAGCAGCTGGACTGGGAACAGCAGGGCTTGCAGCAGCTGGACTGGGAACAGCCACAAGAGCCACAGCCTCCCTTGGAGCCCCCACAGGAGCCACAGCTGGAGCAGGAACAGGCTGGCACACAGCAGCACATGGGCTTGCAGCAGCAGATGGGCACACAGCAGCTGGAGCCACAGCCCCCCTTAGAGCCCCCACAGATGCCACAGCCCCCCTTGGATCCTCCACAGGAGCCACAGCCCCCCTTGGATCCTCCACAGGAGCCACAGCCCCCCTTGGAGCCTCCACAGGAGCCACAGCCCCCCTTGGAGCCCCCACAGGAGCCACAGCCCCCCTTGGAGCCTCCACAGGAGCCACAGCCTCCCTTGGAGCCTCCACAGGAGCCACAGCCCCCCTTAGAGCCGCCACAGGAGCCACAGCCCCCCTTGGAGCCTCCACAGGAGCCACAGCCCCCCTTAGAGCTCCCACAGGAGCCACAGCCCCCCTTGGAGCCCCCACAGGATCCACAGCTGGAGCAGGAACAGGCTGGCACACAGCAGCACACGGGCTTGCAGCAGCAGACGGGCACACAGCAGCTGGAGCCACAGCTCCCACAGCCAGAGCTACAGCCCCCACAGCCGGAGCCACAGCCCCCACAGCCGGAGCCACAGCCTTCAGAACAGCCACAGCAGCCCATGGTTCTGATGGGTTGAGGGTGGAGCAGGTAGAGGAGCAGATGAGAGGGAGGTGCAGGTGTGGAGCCCCCTGAGCCCGGGGCCTTTATATTCCCACCCAGGATCAGGTGTGAAGCTGGGCACATGGTCACTTCCTGGTTCCTGTTTGTGCCATTTCCCCAGGGAAATTTTGTTTGCTTTCTTAAAACTAGAAACAATCATGTTCTGTTTGTTGTTTTGCAGTTCTGCTTCTGGCTCTGCATCTCTACTCTGACTGGTGCATGCCACACCCGTGTATCATGGAAGAGAAGATCCCTTTCCCCAGTGATGGTGCTCACAGGACTCCTGGCCATCAGGGGAACATCTCTGAACAGTCACCGTGAGACCCAGGAGAGCTTGGCCAGGAGGGGCATGCACGACCCTGTAGGGCAGGAGGCTGGGATCAGCTCCTTACTCCTGCGGGGGTCCCTAGCTGGGCAGCCTGCTGCCAGGCGCTGCCTGCAGGGCCTCATGCCTGAGTTTGCATGAAAGCTGAGGTCACGCGTGTGCAGGGTGATGGGGCTGGGAGGGGCCCGACACACTTGCTGGGAAAACAGAGCTGGCTGGGTTACTCTTCTGACATTGTCCAGAGACCTTTGCAGGGTGTCAGAAAAAGAGGCAGCTGGAGGCAGGACTGAAGCCCGTGTCCCTGTGTGGGGCTCCTGTGACAATTGACCACAAACTGGGGGTTCAGACAGCAAGAATTTGTTCTCTCACAATTACAGGGGACGAACGCCTGAGTGCTGCAGTCTGTGCTCCCACCGAAGGGTCTTGGGAGGCTCCTTCCTGCCTCTTCCAGCTTCCAGGCTCCAGGTATTCCCTGGCTGTTCCTTAACTGTGGCCACATGGGTTCTGGGTGGACGAGCTCCAGGCAGAAGTGCCTCCACAGGGTTGGTAGCCTGCACCCCAAGGGCAGGAAGACCGCCGCTGAGCTGTAGGTGGCGGCCACAATGTGTCTGCCTCCTCCTCCCCGTTCATCCTCCCCAGCCCTGGCCTTTGAAGTTCATGTTGGCACAGACACACACTTGCACTGAATTGCTCCAAACCATCCATTAGTGGCCTGGCAGGATCCCTTCATTAGGAATTCCATCTCAGGGGCACGGCCCAGGACTCGGCAGTCTCCACCCCACACGCTGCCCTCAGCTAGACCAGCCCTGGGTGCCCTGGACGCAGAATCCAACAGAACCAGCCTGTTCACTTTTCTCCACCGGAGCCTTCTCAGAGGAGAGCTTCCACCCTGACTTGGATGACTCGGGAAGACCCCACGGAGCTTCTCAGGGCCTCTGTTGTTTAGAAATTACCTGGCCTGTCCAGAAGCAGTGGCTTGTGCCAGTAATCCCAGCACTTTAGGAGGCCGAGGTGGGCAGATCACTTGAGGTTAGGAGTTCGAGACCAGTCTGGCCAACATGGCGAAACCCCATCTCTACTAAAAATACAAAAATTAGTCGGGCATGGTGGCAGATGCCTGTAATCCCAGCTACTCAGGAGGCTGAGGCAGGAGAATGGCTGGAAACCGGGAGGCAGAGTTTGCAGTGAACTAAGATTGCAGCACTGCAGTCCAGCCTGGGTGACAGAGTGAGACTCCGTCTCAAAATAAACAAACAAATAAATAAATAGACCATCTTTATCCCACTGAAATCCTTGGTGTTTTTAACGCAAATCAGCTGACACGTGTGGTGTGTTTGTTCCCGTGTCCTGCTCCGCAGGTCCGTGTGCTGCTTCCTCATGCAAACACAGCATCACTGTGACATTATGGGAGGTTTTGAAGTCAAGTATTGTGAGACTCCAACTTCATTCTTCTTGTTTAAGATTGTTTTGCTTTTTTCCAATTCCTTTGCTTTTTCCAACTAAATTTTATAACCAACTTGATCATCTCAACAACAAAAAACCCATTTCTATTGCAATAGGCAACTAAGGTGGGGAGAGACCCTGGAGAGAGACCCTGTGCCATGCAGGCTATCAGAGGAGGCTAAAGGCCGAAGCTGGAGCTGTGAGACTGAGAAATGCCTCCTCACTCCACCCTCCACCCTCATCACCAGCCTGTGAAGCCCGTGGGCAGAAAGGTAACCGCAGCCACAAGTGTGTGCCTTTCCTCTCTTCTAAATGCCTGCTGATGTCTCTGAGCTGGTTTTTCTATGTAGCTGAATGTTATTTCTGGGTGTTCTGTGAGGGTGGTTTCTGGGATGAGACCAGTATTGGAATCACTGGACTCAGGAAAGCAGAAGCAAGAGGACAGAATAAAAGAAGCCGTGAACTTCAAGAGAAAACTATAGAAATCACCCAAGCTGAACCACAGAGAGAATTTTGAAAATAAACAAACACAGCCTCAGGGACTTATGGGACTGTAACAAAAGATCTAACGTTTGTGTTGTTGAAGCCCCAGGAGGAGAGGGGAAAGAGTGTGGAGCTGAAGATGTATTCAAAGAAATAACGGCTGAAAATTTCCCAACTTTGGCCAAAAATAAATAAATTAATAAACCTACAGGTTCAAGAAGCTGAGTAAACTCAAACAGAATAAACCCAAAGAAACGTATGCAAAAACACATCAAAATCACATTTCTGAAACTAAAAACAAAGAAAAAAAACTTGAAAACAATGAGAGAGAAATGACACCTTACTTATAAGAGACAAAAAATATTTAAATAACAGCAGATCTCTTATCACTAACCATCAGAAAGAAGTAACCAAACCTCTTTCAACTGCCAAAATAAAAGGACCGTCAACTCAGAATTTTATGTCCAGCAAAAATATCCTCCAGGAATGAAGGCAAAATCAAGGCATTCTCCAATGAAGGAAAACTAAGAAGTTGTTAGCATCAGATTTACTCTAAAAGGATGGCTAAAGAAAGTACTACCCCAGAAAGGAAATGCTAAGGGAAGGAAGGAAGAAAAACAATGAAGGAGTAAAAATATGGGTAAATACAATAAACACTTCTCTTATACTTTGTCAATTATGCTTGATGGTTAAAGCAAAAATTCTAACACTGGTATGCTTTTCAGTGTATGTAAAGGAAATGTTTAAAACAGCTATATTATAAACGGGGGAGGGTAAAGGATTTAAAAATGACAGTGTTGGGTGGTAATAGTTTTGTATCTCGATTGTAGAGGTGGTTACACAAATCTACACATGATAAAAGGACATAGAGCTACATATATACATTGTGCCAATTTTCTGGGTGTCCTGTGAGGGTGGTTTCTGGGATGAGACCAGCATTGGAATCAATGGACTCAGGAAAGCAGATGCCCTCCTCACTGGGGGCGGCTTCCTCTGATCCCCCGAGGGCCTGAATAGAACAAAATGGAGGAAGGCCCCTTCTGCCTGACTGCTTCAGCTGGGACATCGGTCTCTTGCCCTCGGACTTAGACTCACACCATCACCTCCCTGGTTCTTGGGCCTTTGGACTTGAACTGAATGACCCCACTCGCTTTCCTAGGTCTTCAGCTTCCAGACAGCAGATCATGGAGCTGCTCAGCCTCCAGAATCACATGGGCCAATTCTTCATAATCATCTATGTATGTGTGTATCTGTGTATCTCTCTACATATGTATGTATGTATGTATGTATGTATCTAACTATCCATGTAGCTATCTATGTATCTATCTAGCTATGTATCTATCTAACTATCCATGTAGCTATCTATCTATCTAGCTATGTATCTATGTATCTACCTATGTGTCTATGTATCTATCTATTATCTATCTATATATCTACATGTGTCTTTGTATCTCTTATCTATGTAACTATCCATCTATGTCTTTATTGTCCATCTATCATTGTATCTATGTATCTATGTATGGATGAATCTATCTATCTATCTACCTATGTATGCATGTATATATATATATATGGATGTATATATCTATCTATCAATCAACCATCTAGCTATGTATCTAATCTCCCACTGGTCCTGTTTCTCTGGAGAACCCTGACTAACAGTACAGATTTTCGTATATCCGAGTGGACACTGCCTTTCTCGACACATTTTCTTTTCTAGCCCCTCAGTTACCCAGTGTCAGTCAGGATGGCCTGGGATTCTCTGCAGCAACAAACCACAGCAGGTTCTCAGTGGCTAAGACAGCCCACACTTCCCACCACCCAAGATGGCCGGGCCTCTGCCCCTCATTCCATAGCCCAGGCAGCCAGTGGCTGTGGCAGAAGAAAAGAAAATATCCTATTCATAATAGAATTCAACATTGTTTCAAAAAGAATTTTTGCTGTGCATGGTGGCTTATGCCTGTAACCCCAACACTGTGGGAGGCCAAGGCAGGAGGATCACTTGAGTCCAGGAGTTTGAGACCGGTCGGGGCAACATAGTGAGGGTGGCCCCAGCTACTTGGGAGGCTGAGGTGGGAGGATCATTTGAGCCTGGGAGATCAAGGTTACAGTGAGCTGTGATTGCTCCACTGCACTCCAGCCTGGGCAACAGAGTGAGAACCTGTCTGAAAATAATAGTAAATAAATAATAAATAAAATAATGTTGCATCCTAACCAGATATTTACAAACCACATATCAGACAAAGGACTGGACATACAAATCTAGACTATATAAAGAACTCTCAAACACAACAGCAAAACATTCGCAAAAACAAACAGAAAAAAGCGACCCAATCCAAAAATGGGCAAAAGACTTGAAGAGGCAATTCTCTGGAGAGGATGTACAGATGGCAAATAAGGGTGTGAGAGGAAGGTTGGCATCCTTAGGCTTTAGGAAAGGCGAGGTGAACTAATCAGGAATGAGATGTCACGATGCCCCTGTGAGAATGACTTAACCAAAAATAGCAGCGACACCAAATGCTGGCAAGAAGGTGGAGACGCTGGGCCCCTCATGCATTGATGGTGGGAATGCAAAATGGTGCAGCCACTCTGGAAGACAGGTTGGCAGCTTATGAAAAAGACTCACCACACAAACACCATTCAGCACAGGAATCTCACTCCTGGGCATTTATCCAGAGAAATGTGCATACAGAAAACCTGTCCATGAATGTTTATAGGAGCTTCATTCATGACAGCCAAATGCTGGAGACACCACATGTTCCTTGATGGGTGAAGGTGGAACGCACTGGCCCACCCCTGCCAGGGGACACTTCTCAGCCATGAAACGGCAGGAATGACAGA